TCAGCATGTCTTAAACAGCTCCTCCTTTTTCTCTGTGGTTCAATTCAAACTTCAGAAGCTGAGACATTTAGCTGGATCCTAAATATGTCCTTAGCTGCTTGTCTTCACACCTGCTTTGACTATGGAAAATTAAGTCAAATTTTTAATGATGGGTTCTAATTTTCCACTAAAACTGAACTTGAGGTATTGAATTCTAAAAGCCAATAAATGCCTATTCTGCAGATCCCTGATTAACTCTTTGCTAGTATCAGTCATCAGAGAAAGGCATGTGTCACTCTAAATCTCGGATATATATTGCACTTCATTCTTCTTCCACACTTTATTTTTAGCAAACTCCAGGATCAACTTTAGAGTTACATGGTGGACAGCATCACTTACATGCATTCATTTACTCTTTTGCACGTAAACCCCGTTAGTCTTTTCTGCAGAGCTGAGGAAACCAACAGTATTTTTCCCCTCTTTAATTCTAAAAAAAAAAGTTAACTTTTTTTTTTAAAAAAAAATTGCTATTGTGTCTGTAGTATCCCCAGAGCTTCTCACCCTATCTATTGCTAATACTGTCAGGATATATTAAAAAAGATTTTTAGGGGTATTGACACTGCAATTGCAGCTTAAGGAATGGTTCATAGAAGGGTAGCGGGATGCCTATTCACACACCCCTCCCTCCCCCCCCAAAAATTAAAAAATATATAGACAACATGAATAAAATAAGACATAGCAAGTATGAACTGGGAGAAACAGTTTTCTGAGAACTACTTTATCCTGTAGACACAGTACAAGCAGAGGACAAGCAAAGGATTATCTTTCGCTCATCCTGGACTTAATAATACCACCACCGAATCCTTTTCAGTTAACAGCGAGACTCAGTGTGAAGGCTGGCCTTATCCTTTTAATCATATTTGGATACATAAAATGTTGTTTTTGTTATTAAGAGTATAATGTGTAAACTGCAATAAAGATGTAAGATGGACTGCCCCAGAAATGAAAATGTGTGCCTATGAAGAAAAGGTTTTCTTTAATTCCGATCACCAAGAGTTTTTATGAAGCAAACTAGCAAGCAAGATTAGATGAGAATACCTTTTTTTGACCTAAGAGTTTCCCGCAGAGGAGGGTATTATTAAAATTTACTGATTATCTAAGGTTTCATGATAGGAAAAAGATGGTCATGAAAATACTTCCCTTTGTTACTGAACAGAGGTATTCTTAATGTCAGTGCCATATAAGCATAGGAAGCTAGTGGCCTGGAAACTTGCCACCACGTGGCTAAAAAATTTCTCTTACGCAGTTCAAATGGCAGCAGCTGCTTTAAATTTAAAGGGCAAGAATTAAACAAATCATGACTTCAGTAGGAGACAAACGAGCCCTAAGTTTGCTTCTTCTATCCTCTTTGCATTTTGGTTCTCCTCCAAGGTCCCTCTGCACTGAGTGTTTGTTAGAACTGACCTTGGTATGCCTCAAAAACACTCAGAAACCCATGCTGCCAAATCCAATGTCCAATTGTTTTTGAAAAGGGGATACTGTTCCCCTTCGGACTTAACTGTAGCCTCATCCTCACACCAGCCAGCACTTTCCAAGCCTGTATTTTCCTCTGCTGCAGTACATCCAATGTAATCATGTTTAGTACTTTCCAAACAACAAAGCAGATGTTCCTTGTAATGCAGTTTTTGAAGAATGCACATGAGGCTCAAGCCAGTGACAGTGTAATCCACCAAATGCCTGCAAAGGAATCCACATTGCCTCTGACTAAGAAGTTTTCTTACTGAAGTCATTTTAGGGGATGCCAACATTAAGGATAAAATATGCAGAAAAAAGGCCAGACAATGCCTTGAGGGACCTACTCGTCAATGCACCAGAAACTACACAGTGACTCTTCTTCCAGAATTGGTGGAGAAGAAGTGCACATGCGTAAAATATACCTTTTGCACTTTAAGACATTTTACCAGCAAACTGTTTCAAATTAAACCCAGATGAGTAATGGTAAAGCAATGAGGTTTTCCCTGGGTTCAGTAAAAACAGCTGGTATTGCTGCTATTAGTCATGTACGTGTGCATTAAAAGGTCTTGTATGTCTGAGAAAAGCATTTCAGTTAGGTAGTGGCAATGTACAACAGCCTCTGGGACCTTTGTCTACAGGAAAAAAAACAGACCATTTGCTGCCAATGCATCCCTGGATGATGCTTGTACTTGAATGCATTTATTCTGATGCCCTCACCAATAATACTTTAAAATTCAATGCCTTATAACTAAATTCTCATATTAGTGAATAACAACACTCCTATTCCAATTTTTATTTTATAATGTGATGCTAAAGCGTACACACTCAACAACATTCAGTATACTACTAACTGCAAGACCACTAAGCTGTAAGACTTCTTCCAGCAAGACCAAATAAAACAAGCCTTGAAATACCATTTTGAAAAGTATCGTGCCCATGTCCATCACTTTACCTTAAGAAAGGGCTTGTGAAGACTCTAGGTGTTTCAGACCTGGAGTCCATAAAACACATTTATTCCTTAATATTAGTAGCCCAGAGTTGTTTGTTTCAGTCAAACGTGACTGACAAGTCAGTATATCTCTGAAGCTTCCATGGGAAGAGAATTTCTGGTGCAACTGTATGAGTATTTGCTCTGTCATGAATAATTTGTTTTTCGGAAAGTAGCAAAACATTAAGAGGCTTTTCAAGTTTCTTTGTTTTCTAGTTAGCCTTCTGATAGTATAGGATAAGAAACAGCTGAACATCACCTTATTTTAATACATACATTTGCATTCTCTCTTTCTAAAACAGGTACAGAAAATAATACTTTCTAAGATGCAGGGGTTACAGAGAGAATAATTGAATTAAACTTTGTACCTATTCCACATACCAGTCATCACCAGAGGTGAACTGTGAATACTGGAATGTCTTTATCTCCCACTTGCTGTGAGTCAGCTGCAAGACACGAAAGCCTAGAGCCAAAAGTTAGCTGTATTAAGACCACTGGGTTTACATGAGATTGTTTTGTTTGGATACCTAGTTGGAGGACTTTCAATTTTTTTCATTTTGAAGCATGGAACAACTGCTGCATGAAAATGGAATAGAAAACTAAAGAAGGATTTCTTCAAACAGAAAAACAAAAGCCTGTTTCATAACTGCTTAGAGTGTAGAAGTCTGCTTCCGCACCGGTTAGCAAAGGACAAATTTTGTTCAGTGTAGCAGGCAGGTAATAGATGTGTGTGCCCATGTGCAAGGCACTGACAACACTTGCAATGAAACACAGGAGATATTCTAGAGGGCCCCAATATTCCAGGACAGCTTTCCATTTGACAAATTAATGTCTACAGCTTGAAGGGTATTTTCAGTATAGCTTTTCTTTTAAATTAACCTAATCTCTAATGAAAATGTGGGTTCACACTTCAGTCAGAACTAAGATATTTGAGCTCCACCTGTCTCCAAAACAGGTCCTTCCTTTCAAGAGGAAAGGTAAGTCTTTTTACCACTGAAGGTTAGGAAGATATGCAAGTCTCCAGGGCTAGATAGTAATTTTATCAGCAAATCTAGCAGGGCAATGTGGATGATGGGGCAGTCTGGAAAGCAGTCAACTCTCAAGTCATTAAAAGCCCTGAAGAGAGGACTGGGGATATAAACTTTCATGAAGACTTGAGCGTGATGGCAGGAGAGTTCTCACAACATAGGTTTGACAGATGGCAGCTTTTGCTGTTTATGAGATATATAACATGAGCTAACATCAATTTTTGTGTGGGAGCCATGTTCGGTGTCCAGAAGACTGGCAGTCATCTAAATCTGCTAGTCACCAAAGAAAAAAATATTCCTATCATACTATGGCCCCATGAGAAAGACGATTTTTTAGCCAGTTGGAGAAGTATGGAAGCATTTCTTATTGTAACTGTATCTTATTTGTACACTTGGAAATGGGGAGGAGATTGAGAAGGTTTCTGAGGTTTCTTAGTGCTTTAACCATCTCTGGTAGAAGGCAGTGCTCTTGATCACTGACGTAACAAGATTTATCTGGGGAAGAACTGCCAATGTTTTCTTCCAAGAAAATCTCTTCTAGTAAACCAGAGAAATAGAAATATCACTGGGAAGTCTTTCAGTTTGCTGAGGACAAATACTAACAGTGCACTTCACCTGAATTTGCACTAATGTTGGAAATGCTGCATTGGATAAAAAGATACTTGTTTGAGTCCAGCCTGGAGAAAAAGAGTCAATTTGACGCAGTGACACAGTTTCTCCAAGAACATACCACGGAGGTGACAGGATGAGAACAAGGACTCATCTTTCTCAGTGGTTGTTGTTAGAGTGACTGGAAATTCAAAATTAAGTGTCCATCACAGATCTGTGGGATGAAGGAACTGGCTGACTTTTAAAAATTTTAATAGGCTGTTTACAAATGGATCCATTAATTTCAAAGTACTAGTGCAACTTCTCAGTGTTATCCTATTAGAAGCCTTTCATGGGCTGAGCATACTACTTCCATATGCAATGGAAAAAAAAAAGGGTATGGAAATTGGTAACATTGGGAGTCACAACCATATTCACAAAGCTTAAATAAATAGTAGTAGTGAACTACTATTCTGTCTAATTCTTGTCACTAGTGAACACAGGATAAGAAAGGAGAAAAATTAAAAATAAGTGCCAATAGTACGTAGAAACACACATCTATTCAGCTTCCTTCTGTAACACTGAGCCTGTAATTCTTTCTTCTCATTTTCCAGCCATCTAAAAATTGGTGAGCCACAAAAGACTATCAAAATTGATGAGTCTTTGTTTTGGAGATGATGTATTTCAACAGCTTTATAGCCTACTCTTTTATGATAAAGACAGAGATTGCCATCTTTGGGTTCATTTGCACTTCACTCTCCCCATCTCTTTCAGAAAAAATAATTAGCCTGTGTCTGCCAGCAAACCTACTGTAACAATTTGACTGTTCTTTGCTGATGCTGCAACCTCAGTGCCAGCTCTGCACACTGACTGGACTGTGAAGTTGCATTGTCATACTATACCTGTTGGCCAAGAGCTGTGACCTAGTTCCAGAGGGAGAGGTTAGGTAAATTGCCAAGTCTCCACGTCGAGGGTGAGTAATAGTGATGCGCACAACAACATGCTCCAAGTAGATCACATGGTGGTTAGGATTATCTGAACAGCCAGTGGCTTTGTAAATTGAACGGACAATGCTGTCAGGTCGTATTGTTCTATAATATAAGCATATAAAACAAGATGAGCATTTCTTGCTTGTTCTGTAAAATAAGACAACCACATCTTTTTTGTTCAGTAGTGAATGACAGTGTTGGACAATTGTTTCTGAGAAGTCAGTAGCCTATAACTGTTAGTAATAATACTTACTTCCTAGCTGAAACTATCACTACAGTGTAATTATTTTACTGCAGCTAATAGCAACTACCTGGCTTTCTGTTAAGCATGTACACATGCTAAAAGAGGACAGTGAAAAACCTGTAATAGGAATAAGCCTTTGGGACAGAGCATTTTTGTGGATTAGTGGCCAGCTGAGAATTGTTGGGATTGTCATGGGATCACAGCTGGTTGTTAAGCCCCAGGAAATGCCTGGCATAGCCAAAGTCCTTGCTTACGTAATAGCAAGCATTACATGTTAACTGTATCAAACAGCATCTGACTCAGCTGGTTTAAATTGGCACGACATCCTTGCAGACTATACCAGTTATGAATCAAGCCTGTCAAGCATATTTATCAAACAATAATCTTAATGCTTTGGAAGTGTGCCTTATGACTGATGCTGTCTCTGTATCCACAGTGTGCACATACAGAATTTTGCTTGGTTCTACAGAGACCCTATCCTAGCAAGCGGAAAGCAGTTCAGTCTTAGCTTCTGAGCTAGAGACTCTCCTGTGACTGAGAGAGAGACAGTATCATGCAGTATTATAATGAAAAGAGTATTTACTTAGATTCTGGATTGGTAGAGTCTGTACTCATTTTACAAAGGTAACTGCAGTGACCTCAAACAAACATTCTTCTTTGATGCATCATCTATATCAGAACTGATCATTATCCAGCCTAGTTTGTTTTATGCTTTCAACTTCTGGGGCGTTCTTTAAACTAGGGCCTTTTCCCAAGCACTACAGGGAACAACATTTACAGGTAGATGACCTGACATCTCTGAAGGTGACAGACATCCCCAATATAGCTTTCAAAATGACACATTATATGCAATGCAAGGAAGGGGGTAAATTACACCCAATTTCTTTCCATAAGTTTATGCCAGCAAGAGTTTTGGCAGCGGGTATTACTTGATTTGCCGATCTGTGTTCTCCACACACACATGCTGTGGAGGGACCGTTGTCCACTTTTCTGCTTCTATCACCATTGCTTCAGCATCCATGAGTCCAAATCCATAGAGGTGGCTCACTGCAAGGTAAAACCAGAGTGGTTGCAATTATAGCACAAACCCTTGTTTTTCAACATAGACTAATTCCAGAGAGTCACATCTTAACAGGAGCTGCTTCTTTTCTACTTCTTTGTTGTTTTCGCACAAAGCTCAAAAATCTCCTTGCCAGAAACAATACTGACTATACCTAATTTGTTCACTGAATCTGTCACTGCTTTACCATAGAAGCGGCAAATGAACATCATGAATAACACAGCCTTACCATGAGGAGCATGGACCAGAACTGCAGAATGCCAGGGATTGCAATTACCTTTTATTGCCCTTTGTCCACGTACATTAATTCAACCCAGTCCTCTTATATGTTATAATGTTAAAAGGTGTAACGAATTGGGTGGTGGGGTGGGAGTATTTCTGTTATCAGATACCAAACACATGCACTTACGTAAATATTGAAGGTAACTAAGACAATAAATTTAAGAAGAAACAGACTGTCTTCTGTAACTGCTGTATGCTCTTTACTTCCCTGTGCGTAAACAGCATGTGGATGCTCTCCTATTCCTGTATGCAATACGGTTGCCACTGGCTAGCCAAGCAGCTAGATCCAACATCTCCCTACAGCTGTCTGCATGATGAGGGTGAAAATCAATGATATTTGAAGTACAGGGATCTAAAGATAATCTGGTTTTCATGCAGAGTCTGTGTCACAAAGGGTCCTTCCTCTACCGTCTTTGTAGACTTGCAGATGAGCTTAGTGCTGGAAAGAGCTGTTAACGTTGCTGTCAACCTCTGATATTACCTACTGCATGCATTGCATGCACAGTGGTGCTAAGCCTCCAGGCCTGGAGGTTAGCACTCTGTAAACGCTCATTCCTGGATGTTTCATCCTCACCTCTATTCTCCAGGCCTGGAGGTTAGCACTCTGTTAACACTCATTCCTGGATGTTTCATCCTCACCTCTATTCGCCTTTCATGCCATGGAGAGCCAACAATGGTCCCCTTGTGAGAAATTCAATGCCCAGTAATTTAATGCCTCAATGCCTTCTAGTCAAAGAAACAGAAGGCTTTAAAGCATCATCTTGCTTAAGACACAAAACCCCCCAAACTTTGAACTGCCCAATACCCAGACAAGGTGAAGTATTTCCAACAGACTTGTGTCAATTCTGTATCTTTCACTTTGTTGACCTAAGTATTTCAACAGTTCCAGCAGTTGACAAATGCTAAAAGTTTCACTTACTGAATCAGTTGTGTGTTTTTGGTTGCTGTTCCAATCAAAACAGAAGCTTGCAGATGGATTTTGATGAATTAGAAGAGCTGCTAGTGATGTTGCCTTATTTTGACAAATTGGTAAAGTTCTGACAGTAGAAGGTGAAAGAAAAAAGCTTCCAGAGGGAGGAGTTTAGATCACAAATATTAATAAACCAGTTTTGCTTGCTACCACTGGCACTGCTACCAGAAAATCCTCAGAAAAACAAAATGCCATTTTAATCAGTAATGCAACAGCGTATAGGGTAAGTCTTTCCAACTGCACTTTGCAGAGGGTTTGTGAAAGCTGCCTCTATTCATTGCCAAACCAGAATATAAAGGACTCGATCCAAAAAAACCCCCTTGTCAAACAACAAGCAAACAGTTCAAAGCATAAAAACAATCAGTGCTTAAGGATTCCATCTTCCAAATATGGCAGTATCTCATACCGTCTGAAACTGCCAACTGAAGAGGGTTCCTCAATGGAAAATACTGCAAGGTGTAACAACTGTGTAAGGAACTGCTTTTCTTCCTGTCTCCTTTCCCTTCAGCCCCTAACTGAAGTGTACATACATGGAAATGTTCATTTGGAGAGAACTAAACACAGCTCTTCTGCCAAATGAGGCAGGTACTGTTTTCAGAAATGAAACACAATGACTAAAATATATGAAAATAATTAAATTCAGCCCTCATTTAGCCTTCTGAATTCTCTTTA